AAACCACAGGGCTCCTCTGGTGGACAAAGCCCAGAGCTCAATGAACACAGTTTTATGTTAAGTATTCAATTCTCCATTTCCCAAAGTCATCCCTGATAGGCTGAGCTTTTTCTGCTATGTCTGTTCTAGAGACTATCAAACTGAGTGTGTTAAAAATTTCTACTACATTCTCTGCTAATACTAAAGCACATTTCTCTTAGTTTCCCTCAACTGGATGACTTGCCCTTGACTGTGCTAATTATCATCTTCCATATCTCCAGTAAATTGCTTTTCTAAATAATCTAATTTCTTGGGAAAAATAAGTTTGGGCCAATGCTTTTCTTGGTAAAGACAAATTTCTACAGTATCATGACAAACGATATGAACACAAGTACATCAATAATACTGAGTGTGCACCCAGGTCTTACTTCTGTGATGGTGCGGTGGAGACACTAAATCAGCACCTTCTCTCTCTTTTCCAGCATCATTTGGGTGTAGTGTTTAAACCCCTGGATACATATTAGAATCCCATAGGGAGATTTTATAAAATACTGATGCACAAACCCCAATTGGGGGGAGATGGTGGAACTCTACTCTTCTGTGCCTTCCTGCCCTATGGAGGTAGAAACTAGAACCTATATTTCCCTAACTCCCTTGCAGCCACAGTACTGGAAGTGATTTTGTGTCTGTAAATCAAAATGCCTTGAGCAAAACTCAAATTTGAAACTGACTGAGTAAAGAGACAGTATGGCAAGCATCTGTTTTGCTAGTGTGGACCTTGGCTGCAGATGAAACTCTGAATCCTGCAGTTCTTATGATTCCTTGAGTTCTGGGTCTTACTTTTGTGGCTGCAACTCTCCAGTCTCCTACCAATGATACATAAGGTTTCCTATATCCCCCGCTTCCCATCAACTCTTGGCAATATGGAGCCTTTTAATTTTTGCTAGTCTAATGGGTATAAAGTAACTTGAGTGCTGTTTTAATTAACACTTCTCTGATTACTGAAGATTCGGAGGATCTTTTCATGTGTTTCATTTTTTCTCCTCTTCTGTAAATTGCCTCTTCACACCATTTGGCTCTTATTCCTTGAGGTTACTATCTTCTCTTTGTCATTCTCAAGAGTTCCTAATATATTCTACCCATTAATACCTCATCAGTTTAACATTGCAAATACTTCTCATTCTGATTTTCATCTATTATCTTTGTCAATAGTGTTCTTCCCTGAATGGAAATCCTTAATTTTGATGACTCAAATTCAATTAAGTTTTTGTCTTAGGGTTTATATTTTTTAAATTTTGTTTCAGACGTCCTTCCCTATCCTTAGATCATAAAGATGCTCTCTTACATTGTTTTCTATTAACTGTAAAGGTTACAGACCCTTGTTTAGTAGTTGATGTTGGTTAGGACACAGCTTTATTCCCTTCCATAGAGTGAGTCCATTCTCCCAATGCCATCTCCTAAACAAACATCCTTTCCCTATTAATTGGTTCTATTAGCTTTATCTTACTTTAATTCCTCAAAGAGAAATATGTCTGAAATCTCTATTCTATTCCCTTGATCTATAGGTTTTTTTCTTGCACAAATACTAAATTGTTTTTATTATTAGGGCTACATCTGCCCTTAATTTTTATTTTCTGAAGTTGACTTAGCTGTTGTGAAAAATCTATTGTGAGATATATTGTATATACCTAAGAGTATATAAAATACATATATACAGTTATAGAATAATTATGAAGGAAATATTAATGTAAACCACCATCCAGGTCAGGAAACATAATACTGCCAGCACCCCAGAATTTTCCCCATGTATTGTCCTCTGACCACAATCCCCACCTACCCTAGAGGCAACCACTACCCTAACTTTTGTGATAACTCCCCAATAAAAGCATACTACATGTATTCACTTTTGTTTCCTTTAGCGCAACATTGTTTTGTGAAATTCATCCATGTTGCATGTAGCTGTAGTTGTGGTATAAATTGCTGTATAGTATTTCATTGTATGAATTTACTATAATTTATTTATCCATTTCAACTTTATCCACACTTGATTTTCTCCAGTTTTTAGTTTCTTTTAATGTGAATTTTTTTTTTAATTAACGTGATGTCTTTAATGGTTATAGAGCTGTCATGATTTCCAGACTCTTCTTGGGTCAGTTTAAGGAACTAGGGTAGACGACACTAGCTACCTACCCAAACCCCTCCTTTCTGAGCACAAGGCTGCCCAGCTGAACTAAATTTCCCAGGCTCCCTTCCAGTTAGGTATAGCCGTATGACTACGCTCTTATTAAGAGAATGTCAGTGGAAGCAGTTTGTGCCATTTTTAGAGTGAGCCTGAAGACATTTGGCATATCTTCTTACACTCTCTTCCCCATTTCCATGGGATGGAATCCAATATGATGGAATCCAATCTGATGATTGATCATGAAGATGAAAATGCTCTACAGAACACTTGCAACCACGTGAAAACTGCTGGACCCTGAAGTACCACAAGGATCAGAATTTTCACACTGATCTGTCTCAGGAACAGTCATCTGAGATCGCTTATGTGAAAGAGATGATAAATAATTTTTTTAAATTAGCAAACACTTATATAATACTGGCACGTAATAAGCACTGTTCTAAGTTTTACCTATACTAGCTCTTTTAAACCTCTTAGCAACCCTAAGTGGTAGTTACTATTACTACCTCAATTTTAAAGATGAGAAAACTGAGACACAGAGAAGACCAGAGTTGCACTGAACTGAGTGCAACTGAACTGAGATTCAAATCCAGGAAATTGGGCTCCCCAATCTGCGCTCTTACCCACTAAGAGGTACTGTACTGCCTTTCCACAAGATTTATATTCTTTAAGCCACTATCTTTGAGGTCACTTTGTTACAACAGCTTAGCATGACCTTAAAAATATAGAAATTTGAACCTAGAAGTGGGGTTCTAAAAATAACCTTAAATATGTGGTTGGATTAGAGTTGAGGAAACAGATATCACAGGCTGGAAAGCTAGAGACCCTTGTAACGTCATCACAAAAATATTTAATAAAATTGTTTCCTGCAGTAAATTGAAAGGCGGGCCATTTACCCAGAGAGCAACCAGAACGTTGATGTGTGCTGGTTGTTCCTTGATGTCTTTAGTACAGGACATTAAGAAAATTAGGTACCCAGGTAAGAACTAGTGGGCATAAAGCAGAAGGCTATAGAGAAAGTCTGGCAATTTGGTTCTGTGCCCCAACAGCAGGAGGCAAGATTGCCACAGCTCATAGTCTTTCCAAAAGCCTCCCAACTAGGAAAGCCAAGGGATTCAGCACTGCGGAAGATTATATTAATGGTGTTGCCTTTATGCATTCACTCAGATGTCCTTAAAGGAGACAGCATTTAAATGAGGGGGAGAGAAATCGGTAGACTTGGAAACCAGGAAGTAAAGTAGGCTTAAAAACTACGCTCCAGAAAGAAACCTGAGTGTTGTTGCTGGCACATGGCATGGACTGGAAACAAACAGATGCAGAAGCCTATTGAATTTCTAAGGTTCTTATATTTCAAAAGCAACCACAGCTTGGCCTGAAAATGTCCTCAGACTCTCAAACCTATACCTGTAGGTAGGAAGCTACTAAAATCACAGAGTTTTTCCAAGACCCACTTCAGATGTGGCCTTAAAGCGTAACCCAGCAGGAAGAATTCCCAAGGGGCAAAATTTGGAATCATGGGAAAGTACACCACTGCCAAGACAGGGAGCCTTCTCAATTTCTCTCTGGTGGAATAATCTCATTGCTATGGGCCAGTGACCACTTCTGGTTCTAGTAACTGCTTCTACCCCTTATCGCTTCAAACCTAAGGTCGGAAAGAGTCCCTGGCCTTCTTCCCACCCAATCTCCCCAACTCCATAGCTAGCACTAAAGTGTTGTACTGTATTTTCCTTTAATCTTCCCACCCTGTGTCAATAGTTCCCGTAAAGAACTTCCCTCAATAGCCCTGTTTGAGTGTGCCTTCTCTTTCCTCCAAGATCCAGACCAGTGATGTCTCTGAATGGCTCCACCAAGGGAAGCTACGCCATCAATCACCCTCCTGAGGACTAGAAAATGAAAGAGAAATAAACGTGCTTTTTTTGTGTGTGTGAGGCACTGCACTTTTTGTTCTATATGTTACAGTAGTTTTAGCCTTACCCTAATTAATAGTGTATGTTTTTGCTAGGGGTCTGTTCTTTTCCTAAGAAGTTCAAATTTATTGGCATAAAGTAGTTTATCAACTCCTCTTATCTCTCTATGTTTATAGTATCTGCATGTCTTATTTCTCATTTCTAACATTGGATAATTGAGCCATCCTTTTTCTTGATAAGACTCACTAGATGTGTATTAGTTTTTATTAATCTTTTTAAAGAATGAACTTTTGGCTTTTGTTGACTCTCTATATTATATGTGGTTTTCTGTTTCATTAGTTGGCTGATTATCATAACAAATTACTCCAGAACTTAGCATTTTAAAACAATCAGAAACTTTTATCATGATGCACAGTTTTTGTGAGCAAGGTAGAAATGGCAATGTTTTTATATAACCTAGTATCGGCAGTCACACATCACCACTTCTAGAATATCCCATTGATTACACAGGTCAGCCATATTTGATGTGGGAGGGGACTATGCCAGGGAATGAATAGGAGGAAGTAAGGATCTTTGGGGGCCATCTTGGAACTGTGTACCACATTGGATTTTGCTCTTATCTTCAGTATTTTCCTTCCTGAACTCAGCTATCCCTAATCATCACCTTAGTATCCCCACCTCTGATAACTTACAGTAACATGCTGAATAACAACATTTCAGTCGATGACAGATTGCATATACAATGGTGATCTCATAAAATTAGTACTATGTAGCCTAGGGGTGTAGTAGGCTATACCATCTAGGTTTGTATAAGTACACTCTATGATGTTTGCACAATGATAAAATCACCTAACATCTCATTTCTCAGAATGTGTCCCCATTCTTAAGTGATGCATGACTGTAAACAGAAAGACTAGGAAAGGGAAGACAATGAATCGGCAAAAGGCAGCATTTATTGTGAGGGGCAATCCTGTCAGCGACTAATTGCCCCAAGGAACTCAAGGGAGGTTTCAGAGCTTTTAACTGTTTCACCAAATCGTTTTTTGTTAAGAGATGCACTCACCAATCACTCTGAACCAGAGAAGCCCCACCCCGAGAGCAGCACCTGCACAGCTGAACCAAGTGAGGGCCCAAAGCTGCCCTTCATTTTAATACTAAAATCTCTGTCCCAGAAGCAGGCTAAGCGTTATTACCATAATATGCGATATATGTGGAAGCCTGAGCCTGTGCAAGCGAATACCCATCTCTCCCTTTTGACTATTCATTCCCAACCAAAATAAAACGCCCCTGCTTTCCCATGCTTGGAAAGCCATGGCTTTGGGAAATAATTCCCTGTGAGCTCCTTCTTTGCAGGAAATAAACTTTACTTTGTGTGATAACTACTGGTGAAGGTTCTGATTTTAACTTACCAAGAAGTAGACTTACTTTGGTTCCATAACAATCCCTCGCTTTCCCAAGCCAAGTGAGGGAAGGGGCTCAAGATAATCACGTAAGGATTTGGAGTGCCTATACGAACGTGAAGCCCAGAGCCTGTGGCCCTCCCTGTGAAAGGACACATTGGTCTCTCAGCAATCAGATCCCCCAAATCTCTCCGGGAGCTTTATCATCCAGCCTTCCCTAGTTTGGCCTGGGGAGAATGCAGGGCAGGGCCAATTCTCAGGGACCCACCAGCACCTAAAGGCCCTTAGACTTTCAATCTCTGGCTCTTCGCGTTCTCTCTAGTTTGGTAAACTTTGTCTAATCTAGTAGGTGTAAGGGTTAGGGACAGAAAAACAAGACTATTATACCTGCTTTTAGTTATTTCTTTCTGTGTCCCCCCCATGGTTAGGCTTTTGAAACTTAAAATCGGAGAACTGACTATAACATTCTGCCGAGACATTCTTCCCCTGAAGCAATGCAAACTACAATCTTACTGTCTAAATCAGAAAAGGGGTTACATGGCCTAAAAAGTAGAATTTCACCCTGCTACAAAACTTTTCAGCAAAACTTACATCTAACTGAGCAAAATTCTTTAGGAAATAAAAAGGCCTCTCCAGAAGAGGAAAAAAAAATCAACCAACCACTGCCCAATAAAAGTCACAAAAAGGGAAGGGGGCGGGGCACTTGGCTATACTGATTTCCATCAATGATTTTCTAAATGTTGTCTTGGTTTTTGACCGAGAAAGGGACACTTCTATTTTTTCTCCTCAAACTAAGGTTTAGACAGGAATTCAAGCCAGACCCATGTTATTTATTTCGGATTTCTTAGGGCCAAGTTTATGGGATGTTGCTTGATGAGTGTTTATTGAATTAACCAGAAGAGAAAGATTAAAGCAATTGAAGGTAACAGACCTGAGACCCCATCTCATAGTTCAGAGCCAAGTTGATTACATACTTCAGATACAGATATCAATACATTAAGATCTATTACAAAGGAACGAATGAACCCTGCCCTGCTCTAAGTGAGGCTTGTCTCCGTCAGATTTTTCAGAACCTGATTTCCTGCGTGTCTGTACTGGGGAGAATGCAAGTTTAAAGAGTAGGTCTCAAGATGTCAATTCTTGCATTTGTCCATGGGCTGGGCTCTTGATTGGCCATTTGTGCCTACCACAATTAGATGAACAGAAGGGAATTGTAAATATTGAAACATTAGCTTTTCTCCTGGTATGGATTGCAGGAGGCTCAGAACACCACAGATGTAGGAGGTAATTTTCCCACACAGTTCTCAAGGAGCCCTAGGTGAGCTGGACACCTCACTTGCCACAGCTCACACAGATTACTGTAGAAAGAATATTGGGGGTGCTATACAAAAAGAATTGAGAGGTTTGGCTTTGTGTTGGGCTGTCACTAACGACTTGCAATTTGGTGCCTATCATGTAATCTCTCTGCTTCTTTACTTCTATCCATGAGAAAAGCCAGATGCACTTTGTTGGTGTCTGTCATTTACTTACAGTTCCACTTATATAATTAGGGGTTTACTTTTACCAGACATGCAGACTTTTGGGGATGTCTGGAGTTTAGAGCACACAGTACAGAGTTTTGTGAAATACGGTGCCTATGAGAAGTTTCCCGTGGTACACAACAGCCACACTGCTGCCCTGAAGCACAGAGCCATTATTGGCATACTCGGTACTTATACTGGGCTGCTCAGACAAAACATTGTGGATGCGAAGTACCTGTCAAGAGAAGATTATTTGTTAGTATACTACCTGAGGAAACAGCCGTTAGTGACATTTTCCTTCCCAAATACTTCAGGACTAATACATTTCTCAGAAATCAATAAGCTAAAATCTGTATATCTTCAATCATTTTTTCACTTCTTCTGATGAAAGTATTAATGTCTGGATGATATCTATGCACTCGACTGGACGAGTTATCTGACATTACCCAAATTCCTCAACAGATGGTTTACATAATTTTGATAGTTCAGGCATCTCCTACAGAAAGAGGTAGGAACCAGAGGATGCTCCTATCTAATTCTTGAGCAAACAGCGTTCCTCTGTGGGAAAGGGTCTTGCCTTTGACTGGGCCTACAGCATGGGGAGGGAAAAACAGGATGAAATGATAAAAGGACATCCAGTTAGCAAGCCAACCCAAACTTGTAACAGTAGGATGTAGTCTTCACAGCTGGAGCCGCTCTCACATCCATGAATGCATACTTAAGGAATTCAGTCTGACACATCACTGCCTGTTACTGTTATTGATCCCCAAGAATAACACACTTTAGTTTGCTAATCAGAAAATATATAAGTGCTCAGTTTTCCAAATAGCCTGGATGAAGTTCACTCAAACAGGACATTATGGGAATTAAAGAAAACCAATTAGAAATTCATGAGTCATGAGTCTATATCAACATTTCTTATTAGAATAGAGTTTAGTTGAGTTTTGTTTTTTTATCTTAGAGAAAATTCTACAACTTTCTCTCAGGTTTGTTACATGAAAATACTCAAGCTTGGAACTCATGTAGAAAACATTAGCCTCTACCAAAAGGAAAGAGTGTCAGTGATTGTGAAGAAAGAAGTCTTATCTAAAATAAACAAATGGTTAAACTTAAAATAGAGACCAAGAAAAGATCCAAACAATTTTCAAATCATCCTATGGATCCATTTTCATTCTCTTAAAACAGACCCTGTTGTTGGGCATTTATGGAAAGCTCTATGTATCACTTCCGGGGGCACATATCTGAGGGAAGGGTTGCTTCCTAGCTTAGGGTAATAATTCTTCAGGTTCTAGGCTCAGGTTGGACTTTTGTTTCTTTTTATATTTTTTGGTGTTTTTTTTTTAAGAATCTGTGACTAACATGTTAATAAGAGAAACAAACATTATTGTTGGGTTTTTTTAAACAGAAGAACAGCATTATAGGAAGCAGAAATAACTGTATATTCTAATTTACCCACAGGGCCAATTACTAGGCTAGGGTTTGAATCTCAATTTCCCAACTCCCCAAACCTAGATTGAAATGTTATATCTTTCTTCAAACCTTACCTTCTCAATGAGGTCTACCCTGCCCTCTGTATTTAATAATAGGATCTGCACTTCCCCCTGTTTACAGCAATCCTGATCCTCTTTACTGTTACACATTTTTCCCCATAGAACTTAGGCCCTTCAAACTTACTCTATAATTTACCTGTTTTTCAGCTTATTGTTCATTATCCCCCTCCTTAAGAGCAGGGATCTTGGTATGTTGCTTTCTGATATATCCTAAGCATTAGAACAAAGTCTGGTGCATTACATTGGGAATAACTCTCTGAGTATGTGTGCCAAAAATTTATATCTATATTTAAATTCACTAGAGATTTTTTAATTCTTAAACTCAATGCTACAGAAAATGCAATGCTTTATGCTACTTATTGTTTTTTTAAAGATTGGCAACTGAGCTAACATCTGTTGCAAATCTTTTTTTTCTTCTTCTTCTCCCCAAGACCCCCCAGTACATAGTTGTATACTCTAGCTGTGAGTGCCTCTGGTTGTGGCATGCGGGACGCCACCTCAGCATGGCCTGGGAGCGGTGCCATGTCTGCGCCTGGGATTTGAACCATTGAAACCCTGGCTGCCGAAGCTGAGGGCGAGAACTCAACCACTCAGCCATGGGGCCGGCCCCTATGCTATTGTTTTTAATGCCATATAAAATTCAATGGCATATGTTATTTTTTTGGAAGAGATTTTAAATAACACAAATAACATCTTTAAAATGAGACAGTCTTCAACATTATCATATATATTAGAACCTTGCTGGCAAACTAATTTTATTTTGAGACTGCAGTCATGTAAACCCTTTCATTTGAGCTTCATGCTGGGTAGTGTGAAAGAAGATGGTTCTGCATACGACCCTCCCTTTGCCTAACTTCAGGGCCTGCTCAGAGCCTACATCCTGACTGGAAATAAGATATGGCAGTCTTGGTTAATATGAAAAATCAAGCTCATATTTTCCCATTAGTCCCAAGAGCAAGTACAGCCCTTGCAAAGATAGGACATTTGTCTAGCACTGATGTTAAATTAGCACCAGGTGACCTGAAAGGGTTAATGGGCCATATTTCCCCATCCTGCCAAAATCTCTGCTTTTTCCAAATGTAGAATTTGTTTAGTTCTGGAACATCACATGTGACCCACTAAATTCCCCCAAGTCACCCCAATAAATTGTTTGTTCTTGCAGCTTTGCCCGTAGCTCAGAGAAGCATAGGACTTACTTCTGACCCTGGAGGATCCTCAGGGTTATAGTTCAGCAGCTTCATGGCGTTTGGATGGCATCCTGCCAAAATATCTCCCGTGTCAGGATCGATGGTCAAGTTATCCACTAAGGTCCCCAATTGCATTATCTTCCAACAAAGAAGAAGTAGTGAAGACATTGTTTCCACTTTTTTCCCTACCCCTTCTCCCTCCCACCAGCTCCTGAAATTGATATTTTCAAGGGGCTTTGCTGCTGAATTTTAGAAGTGCAAGCACGTCTCACTGACATTCTTCTAGAATAGTCATGTTTCCCTCATTCAAGGAGCACCTTCCTAGGTCAAGTGTGCGCGCTAACATTAAGAGGCCATGTTGGGTGGGCAAGCAAGGGTACTTTTACCTTCAGTGGAGTTAAATCCCAGTTATCATGTTTTTTCAGTACGTGGATGTTCTTATCCAATATATCAGCTACATAGATATACCTTTGAAGTAAATAACGTTTACAGTTAAGCAAGTAGTAATGAGAAATGACCCTAACATTTATTCTGGAGAAGAGGTATAAAAATTCACAATAGTTCAGGGGCTGGTCCCGTGGCCGAGTGGTTGGGTTCGCGCGCTCCGCTGCAGGCAGCCCAGTGTTTCGTTAGTTCGAATCCTGGGCGCGGACATGGCACTGCTCGTCAGACCACGCTGAGGCAGCGTCCCACATGCCACAACTAGAAGAACCCACAACGAAGAATACACAACTATGTACCGGGGGGCTTTGGGGAGAAAAAGGAAAAAATAAAATCTTTAAAAAAAAAAAAAATTCACAATAGTTCAAAGTGTCACTGCAATGTTTTTCGAAACCACAATAAAAAAAAGATAATAGAGTGGTATTTTTAATATTCTTGAAGTGCTTTAAATAACCCTGAATATGAGATAGGACTATAAAGTAGTGAAATTGATCTTTCTAGATGACATATTATAGGCTCAGTCTCATTACTTAGGAGTCACGATTTATTCTTTAAATGGAATGGAGGTACGTGGACCTCTTCTAAGGCCAGAAGAGTCTATACTTCCAAAAGTTAGTGCTTGAAAAGAAGTATTAGGCGATCATGAAGCTCAATCACAAGCACTTTTAAAAAGAGGAACAATACTTGAAGTTGTTTTCCACAAAGATCATCTCTATTCATCACCTCAAATTTACATATTAATACTCATGGTTCTTTTCTTTTTTAAACACTTTCCATTTTTAAACACTTTAAAAGAGTGTTTCTCATAAAATTTCATGCTGCAGAAAATAGTGTTTTCTCATCGAAAAGTCTGCTGTGGTATACCAATAAGTCTGAAACTTATGCAATCTCAATGCTCAATCCTAACTTGGGTCTTCTTCTTTAATAAAAACTTTTGGGTAACTAAACTTAGAATAAATGGTTAAAGACTCATAAGGGGCAGAGGAATTGTGCATTTATTCTCTTTTTTAGTGTGTTAATTAAGCATGTTTCTAGAATCATATCCACACAAGAATTTGGAAGAAGGTCTTTATATCTTTGAGCCCAAATCACTCACTTCATTGGGGAGAGCCTAAAGCTCAAGAGGGCAAATAGTTTGCTTAAGATCACACGTTTAGAGTGAACGCTGGCCACATCTAATCCCTCCACACATATGTTGACTACTCAAGTCTAAGGAAGTAACCACCTCTTAAGCAAGGAGTCCACTAAAATGTGAAGGGCAAAGGGTAGAAAAACTATAAAAGAGCTTACTTCTTGTCTAATGAGATTGTGATCCCATTGGCAGAACTAAATCCTTTGGCCACCACTTTGACCTCTCTTGGACTATAGAAAAGAACATAAGTCCAGTGAAGCTCCATGGCCATCTCAAATAGCGTCAAGAAGAAGTTGGTAAAATAGTGGTCTCTGGTGGCATAGAACTGTTCTGGTCCCACGACCACAATGTCATTCACACTGAAGTGGAAAAAAAAAAGAGAGGAAGAGAAAGAGAAAAGGAGTATTCAAATTTCCTGACGGTTGTCAAAATCATTAAATCTCTGCAAAGACCAATATGTTCATCAATTTGAAAAAGTATACATGAAGTAGTATGGATTAAGGAATTCTACAGAAAGTCCATGATTTTTCATTGTCCCGATGGGGATTCTTTTAGCCATTTGTTATTTTCTCATTCCTCTCTTCTGCAGAAGTCAGCAAAAACAAATAAACATACAAATAAACCTCAAACTCCAAATCTGTTGACTTGTAAATGCTAAATAATGATTATCTGTGGTGGTCACAGAGGAGTTCACCAATAGTTCTGGTCCTCCTCCTTCTGGAATTAGGCTTTTCCTTCCCCTTAATGTTAGGCACAACCGTATGACTTGCTTTGGCCGAGGAAATGAAGATATGTGTGTGGCTTCTGGATGGAAGACTTTAAGAGCCAGTACGTGACCCAACATGCTTCCCTCACTCTTCCACAGTAACCAGCAACTTTCCTGATGATAGAGAGTGTGGTCCCCCTAGGGCCCTACATGAAGACAATATAAAACTGAGCCCCTGAATCATCTACACTGAATATATAGCACAAGTGAGACAACAAAACAAAACTTAGTGGTTTTGAGTCACTAAAGACGTTAGGTTTCCTCCCTCTGTTATTGTAGCATAACCCAGTCCATGCTGATGTTTATCATTTCTCTAAGTAGGTGGGATTATGAGTGCTATTCTTTCTTATATACGTTTTTCAATACCATTAAAATTTTTAAATGAAGCACGTCTTAACTCTTTCAACAGTAAAAAACAGTAAAGTCATTTCTGTTTTGGAAAAGAAAAAAGAGAGGCAATGACTTGAAAAAATGTGAAAAAAAAGACTAAACATTTCTATATTAAATTTAGGAAAGAAAAACTTGGGTGAATCAGGAAATGCTTTGAGGTTTTGCTATACAATGACTTTCCCAATGTCATTAGGCTGCTCATCTTTTGGGTCTCAGCTGAAGCATTCCTTCCTCCAAAACATATTGCCTGACACCACAGATTAAGTTGAATTCCCTCACAACTTGTTTCCATAGCACCTTGTTCTACCCCTTGAAATGCTTGGTCAATGTGTGTTTCAGAGCACCTCTAAAGTCCTCCTTTTTGTGGAACAAAGCCTCACATGCCCTGTTCCAGCTGGTGCTGCTTCAACCAGCTCTGCATAGGACCCGACAGACTTCCCATAGTGCAACCTTACAGTGCCTTACCTCATGTCTGTTATGGGCCTCTTGCTCCCACTTCTGTCCTTCCATGTTGACGTCAAAGCAAAGGACATCACCAGACTTGATTTGCACATGCATGACCAGGCATGTGCAGGAGTTGACCCCCCTTGAGGCAAACTCTTGACTAAAGGAAGATGGGACTGATGAATAAATTCTTTTCCCTTTCTATCTTGGCCAGCCTTTCTTGAAATCAGGCTTATGTTGCTTATTGGAGGACAATCTCATGATCTCAAGTAGTCGATTGCACTTAGCAGTGGCTGGCCTGATAACGGAATTTGTTAGAGACTCTCCCTTGTATGTGTTTCCTAGAGCTGCTGTAACAAAGTACCACAAACTGGGTAGCTTAAGACAACGGAAATTTATCATCCCACAGTTCTGGAGAAGAAAAGCCCCAAATCAAGGTGTTGACAGAGGCATACTCCCTTTAAAGTTTCTATGGGAGTGCCTTTCCTTGCCTCTTCCAGCTTATGGTAGCCCCAGGTGTTCCTTGGCTCATAGCTGCATCACTCCAATCTCACTCTCCACCTTCACATGCATTCTCCCTGAATGTCTGTCTGTCTACTTAGAAGGACACCAGGCATATTGGATTAAGGGCCCACCCTGCTCCATTATAACTTCTTCTTAACTAATTTCATCTGCAACCATCCCATTCCCAAATAAGGTCATGTTCTGAGGTATTGAGGGTTAAAATTTCAACATATCTTTTTGAGAGGACACAATTCAACCCATAACACCCTCCTTTCCCTGCTGCCTTAGGCTGGTCTCTCACTTCTCTGTCCTAGAATGGTACTCCTCAATAAAGTAGTTGTGCACTGAGTCTCCTCTCAGGCTGCGCTTTCTTTGGAACTCTTCCTGTGAGGTCATATGTTACTGCATTTGATCCTCACAGTCACTCATTAGGTAAATTGGGCCAATAAGAGAATTCCCATTTTGCTGAGGAAATTGAAGCACAGGTTAAATGATTTGTCCACAGTTTCTCAGTCACCCCATGGCAGTCCTGGTGCCCTTTGTGCCTCAGAACCCAATTACTTCAACTTGTCACTTTTTTTGCCCTCTGCTCTTCTTGTCCCCAAATGCTATGAGGGGAAACTCATACGTGATTTTGAGAAAGATAACAAAGGAGAGAAGGTGTACTTCCTTCTTCTTCTTCTCCTATTCTATCCCATGGAAAGATTAACCTCTACTGTTTTGAAACCAGTCTTTCAGAGTTGAGTCCATTTTATAAACGATGAATTCTTCATTGTTTGTTACAGCCTTGAAACAGGCAATCTATCCACTAAAAAACATACTATTCTTTTCAAGACAGTAAGAAAGATGTTCATCACTGCAATTGAGAGTCTAGTTTTGAATTCAGATGGATCTAGGTTTACACTCTGGTTTTGCCACTTACAAATTACATAACTTGGGCAAGTTACTTAACCCCAAATTCCTTTAAGCCTTAGTTTCTTCATGCCTATTACTAAAGGCTATTGTGAGAATGAAATTAAGTATTCTGGCACAGTGTCTGGAACATAGTCATGCTTAACAAAAGTGGGTTTTTATATGTTCCCAGAGACTTTTTCCAATTCTACTTTAAAGCTCAGATGGAACAAGGGAATGACCCATCTGGAGGCTGGTTATAACACCCAGTAGGTGCAGCTTTTAGAATACAATTTATTAAGAAAACTAGAAAAGGGTGTAGGTGTTTAAAGACAGCCTGGTAGTAGGCATTGTCTTGCTGTGGTATGGAGGATGGAGTTAAAGCTGGGAATCTAATCGAGTACCTTTACAGGATTACAATGCTTTCAAGAAGTTGGCAAATATGAGGATATTCCATACTGAATACAGCAATTTCCAGCAAGGTGCCACGCAGTGTCACCATGGAAACCTTTAGAAAGCTTTAGAAAACAATGCTACCAAACAAAAGTTGAAGAAAGCCTGCTGAAGCAAAGAAAACAAAACACACAGCAGAAGTTCAAAATGAATAGAAGTGCAAATACTTTAATTCCATACCTTATGAGAAGTTTGTGTTGTATGGTTTTCAGGTGTACCAGGGAACGTTGTCGTTCCTCAAATTTAAATATCTCCACAGTGGACTTCATGTTGGGATGATTCACAACATAAAGATACACAGTGTGGTCTAAAGTGGAAAAAGGCATAATTTCCAAGAAGTTTACTTCTATTGCAACTGTGATTAGACTTGGTGTAGAAGTTGGTCACATCTGAGGATTTTTCTCATACATCTTGCATTTGATCCCATAGTCCACCTGACAGGTAAGTCAGACAAACTCCAGAATCCCCATTTTACTGAAGAAATTGTGACTCAGAAGGTTAATAACTTATCAGCAATTTCGCCACCACCAAAGTGGCAGAGCAGTGAGTGGAAGAAAACAAGCTTTGTTGAGAACTTTTTCCCGTGAGAACTTCCTACACTGCAACACACTCAACAAATATCAGAGTTGTGTAAACATCTTAAATTAAGCAACATTTTGCAACCAGAGAATGAAATTGTGACGTTGTCAGCTACCTGAAGTCGCAAGAACAGTATATTGAGTGAACCCAACCGACATGGGATGTAAATATGAATGCTAGAGAAAATAGAGCAGCCAATTCTGGGTATTACCAACCTCGAGAATGTTCACACATCTGTTTTCATATTGGAATGTGAACTGCTGTGAACAGGATTGAGGGTAGTTATCTGGCTTCTCAGAGTACTGTCTTCTGACTTTTTAGGAACTCTAGGTCTAAAGAGCTCTAGGGTTTTAAAGGGCCTGACCCCATCCTCCCACTGCAGGACTGATCTGCGTTCATCTCCCCACTTCCTTTCTTGACGGAGTTTCCAATCATGCGATGAAGCAAGCTTGAACCCTGAGCTGCATGGCTTTTACTCAGGGGCCCTGAAACACACAGGCCCCTTTACTCAAATTAAGGAAAAGTGCTCCCTCACAGACAAATCTTCCTTTTGGTCTGACCCAGCTCTCTTCCCCGGCCTGGGGCTTGGCAAGCAGAACCAGAGCTGGATTTTAGTCCCCACATGGCCCTTCAGCCAGACATTCTTGTCAGACACAGCATGAATAAATGCACTCCCTTGGCTTTACCCCGTCTTTAGCCCTCTGCTGGACCCCTCCTTCCACATAAAAGATGCATGGTGAGAACACTTTAGTTCTCTATCTTCTCATTCCGTTTCTATTTCTATGTGTAATGTTTTGGCCTTATGAATTAGATACATAATTATACGACTAATAAATAAAATGTCAATCATAATATACTCAGCTTCTGAAAGCCTGTTTATACACCCGAGGCTTAATCTTTAACCTGGTCCCATCTCACAAAAAACAACCAAAAGCAACCCCCACTCCCCCCCTCAACCCCCAAAAAACCCTACCTCTAACACTATCCCATGCAATAAAATAGCTCCAGGTTAATCTGATCACACATTACACTTTCCCCAATGAAAAATCTTACATCTAGTTGGGTGTCAGGCAAAAAAGTGGTGACTTTTGAATTGCTTAAGTAGACCCTGGAGCCCTAATTTTACCTGGGTAAAGGACATAGGATTAGAAGTAAGACCTCTTGGGTTCTAGTTATGAAACTGCCATTTACTAATGACAGAAGTGAAGTCATACTTCACTGCAATTCTCTAAACTCCATTTCTGCATCTATAAAACTGAATATTAATATCTGCCCTGCCTGTCACATAGAGTTCATTCATTTATTCATTTAACACGTGTTCAAAGCACCCACTATGCAGCAAATATTGTTCTAGACTCTGGGAATCCAGCAACGAACAAGTCACGTATTCTTTCATGATGATTATATTCTAGAGAAGAAAACAGGGGGGAATAATTAGTAAGTAAAGGAATACTGGAGTGGGGAGATGCCTTCTTCATGGAGTGGCACCCACTTGAAGAGTGACAGAAAGCTTGGATCTAAAGATGAGAGGGAGCTCGCTACAGAGCAGTTCTGGGAGAGGCAGAGAAGGTTGGTATCTTTTAAGATTAATAAAAAACAAGAATTACCATTTTGATGAGTACATTGAGAAGAAATACAACAAGATTCATACCCTGAAACAAGGTGGTGGGAAGGCTTTCCTGAGAAGGTAACATTTAAGCTGAGGCCAGAATCATGAGGAAGGTAAGCCAGAAGTAATGGAAAGACATTCCAGGCAGAGGGAATTACAGATGCAAAGGCCCTGGGCCTTGTAGCATTTTATAGGACTAAAGGAAATCCCATGTGGCTTGTCCAGAGAGTCTGGGGGAGAGTGGTGTCCAGTGAGGCTGGAGAGAGCATTCAGATGCCGGAGTGTGCAGGGGCAGCGCCTAGGAACTTAGGCCATTCTGGAGACTTGGAGTTTATCTTCAGAGTAATGGGAGCAATACGGAGAATTTTAAGAAGAGAGTGATATGATCAGATTTGCATAACAAGTAACTCTTGCTTATGAAAATGGATTGAGGTGTTATAGGAGAGAAGGTGCGGTTAGAAGCCACTGCAGAATCCAGGGGAGACATGGTAGGGGCGTGGATGGTGTGGTGGCAATGAGAATGGGAAGAGGTGCACAGGTTGGAGAGATATTTGGGGGGTAATTTGGGCAGAACGTTGTAACCAGTTGACTGAATGGGGCAGGGAGAGGAGAAGTGTCAAGGTTGGGCCCAGGATTGTATTTTGAGGAATTAATAAATTATATATGCATATGCTTTGTAAACAGAAAAGCAATACAAAATTGTTAGGTACAATGATCTTTTAAGGCAGGGCTTGCTAAGCAAATAAACAGTATATACAAAATTTTAGAGGAATATTTAACCTACTTAATAAAATAGTACTCAACTATGTTAAAAGGTACCCATTTACTTAAAAAAGAACAAGTCTGTGTTGGTGTAGATGAAAGGAATTGAACAAAGATCTGTTGCATAAGTGGATAGAAATGCTTACTAATCACTCTTTTTTATTTGTGAAAATCACTCCAGCAGATTTACACTTAATAATAATTGTACCTCCAGTATATATTTGGAAGAGTTAAAACAAGATTGCTTTAGAACTTCTGAATTTCAACACTTCCATTTGGCCTTCCCTTTGTGTAGTGACTGCTGGTGAGATTTCACTCTTCCTTTTTTTCTATATGCTCTGTGGACCCATAAATATTTAAAAATTAAATTAGTCTGGAATTATGAACTATGAAGAAGCAAAAAATGATATTTGGAAATATTGTTTTAAAGCTTATGCAATGTATTAATAACTATGTTTTGTTTTCTATTACAGCTTTTCTGAGATATAACTCACATAAATTCACTTTAAAAATGTACAATTTAATGGTTTTTAGTATATTCACAGAGTTGTGCAATCATAGCCAGTATCTAGTTCCAGAACACTTTCATCATCCCAAAAGAAATCTCCATACCAGTTAGCTGTCACTCCCCATTCTTCATGCCCCTCAGCACCTGCCAACCACTAATCTAATTTTTTGTCTCTATGAATTTGCCTATTATGAACACTTCATATAAATGGAATCACACAATATGCGGCCTGTAGTGACTGAATTCTCTCACTTAGGATAATGTTTACAAGGTTCATCCATGTTGTAGCAGGCATCAGTACTTCATTCCTTTTTATTGCCAAATAACATTCCATTGTATAAATATACCACCTTTTGTTTATGTATTCAACAGTTGACAGGAATCTGGGTTATTTTTATCTCTTGGGTATTAGGCGTAATGCTGCTGTGAACATTCCTGTACAAGCTTGTGTGTGGACCTATGTTTTCAGTTCTCTTGGCTATATACCAAGGAGTGGAGTTTCTAGATCATGTGGTAACTATGTTTAACATTTTGAGGAACTGCCAAACTGCTTCCCAAAGTGGCTGCACCATTTTACAATCCCACTAGCAAAGTGCGAGAGGTCTAATTTCTCCACATTCTTGCCAACATTTATTATTGTCTTTTTTATAGAGCCATCCTAGTGGGTGTGAAGTAGAATCTCATCAAAGTTCTGATTTGCATTTCCCTAATGACTAAGCATATTGAGTATCTTTCCATGTGTTTATTGGCCATTTGTATATCTCTTTGGAAAGATGTCTACTAAGATCCTTAGTCCATTTTTAATTGGGTTATTTGCCTTTTGTTGTTGGGTCATAAGAATTATTTATATATTCTGGATACAAGCTTCTTAGATGTATGATTTGCAAATATTGTCTCTCAGTCTTTGGGTTGTTTCTTCACTTTCTTTATGACGTCTTTTGACACAGAAGGCTTTTAATTTTGACGAAGTCTAATTTATCTATTGTTTTATGTTTTTTTTTAATGTCACACAGTTATTTTCAAAGGGTCTTTAGTTTATAGGTTAGAGTTCTGAGAACAATATTCAAATTGGTTTTGATGGTCAAATGAGAAGAAAAATGGGTAGGAGGAAGAGAGAGCCATCCAATTGTAGTCCTCCTTCTTTAATGCGATATTTAAAAGTGTTTTGATACACATTTATTATTTTACAAATATACATCTTTATGGTAAAATAACATCTCCCCTCCTTTCACATACACGTTGAATAGTTGGGGATAAGTGGTTTGTATTTCCCTCTCATTCTTAAGCATTCAGACTTTACCTTTGTCCATGAAAGTACTGATTCCATGTGGATTAAATGATGCTTTGTCAAAAGAATCACTAATGTTTAGCACCTGGGCCCTTGGGTTTTGCTCATTCAGATCCATCAAGAAGATTTGTCCTGGCTCATCTGGTCCAAAGTTTACCATGCCTGGATATTTTAACCCCTTGAAGAAATAGAAAACAAGTATGCACACATATACATATCAAAAGAACATTTTCATATGGAGGCTAAAATCTCAAAGCCTAATAACAATGTTCAAAGCTCTAAATTTCTTTTAGATTTCTGAGATTTTTTCACTCTGTCATCTGTTGTCATTATCCGATCTGAGGGATTGCCATTGCCATCTAAGCCATTGGGAATGGGAATGGAAATATGGGAAGGACTCATATTCATCTTTTTCTCTATTCTTTTTTTAAGAATTATTTGATCGAGGTCACATTGGTTTATAACATTATGTAAATTTCAGGTGTACATCATTATATTTCGCCTTCTATATAGACTGCATTGTGTTCATCACCAAAAGTCTAGTTCCCATCCTTCACCAGATATGTGTCCCCCTTTTCCCCTTTTTCCCTCCCCCACCCCCTTCCCCTCTGGTAACCACTGACCTGTTCTCCTTATCTATGTGCTTGTTTGTTTAGCGAGAAGGGATTAAGACAAAAAGTATAATGCAAAAGACCAGGCATTGTTACTTGGTTTAATTCCCTTGGACTGCCTATGCCTCAGGTTCCTCGTGTATAAAATGAGCCAGCGAAAATGTATGATTGCTAAAATTTTTTCCAGTGCTGATATTCTATAACTACCCTTCCTCAAAGCAGAGAGAAAGGGTGTATGGTTTCACTGCATCGCTCTCACCCCTACATCCATTATATTATATTGTGACAAATAGTAGAATCAGAATTGACATAAGGGAAGCAGTCTCATAGAGTCGACTATTTCTGACCTATTTTGCTCCTATAGATATGTTTGAAAATTTGGACATGAATCCCTTGCTCCAAATATTGCAAAAAGTTCATTCTAGTACCTTGGACAGTGGTTCTTTCCACTGGAAGGACCAGGGGTTTATCAACCAGTGACAGGCATCCTTGAATGTATTGGGTCTTTGCTGCACCCCAGGTCATTATGTCAACTTGGGATTGGTTTATTCTATACCAGTTACAAAACTCAGCCCACTTCCTCCCCATATCCCTCGCCCATCAGTCTAATATATATTAATATCAATAATCTTGTATCACTTCTTGTACCCTCATTTCCATTTATAGTCAGTTTAAATTCTCTCCTTCCTACTCTACCTTCTCTCTCTGTCTCTCTCTCCTCCCCCTTTCTTATAAATACACACACACTCACTTATTTATAATCATACTATTCCTGGCCCTTCCACTGCTCCCCACCGCAACCCTGGGTAAATCAATCTTCAGTTCCAAACAACCCCACCTACATCTTCAAGCTTTTCTTAGGACAGTCATTCTATGTCTAAATCGTATCGGAAACCTGGCTTTCCCCCAGACAACACTGGCACTGCTGAAGATTCTATTCCTTCTTTCATTTTCCTTAAGTCACCACACCTGGAGGAGAGTTCAGCATGCCCCTAGCCATACCCTTCTGCTTCCAGACCTGGAATCTGTCCTCATCAGTCAACAGCTTGTCTTCTAAGGAAGCCACACCCTACTTTGCTTACTGTTTCCTTGTCAAATTCCCTACCAACTCCCTTTGCCCTGGTCTACCTCTTACATAGGCTAGTCTAAAATCAGGTTGAAAAATCCACTACAAACTTATTATCTCAACTTCAACCAGACATTCAGTAATGTTTATCAATCCTCTTGCTCATTCTAGTAGGTAATCTATTACAATTCTCCAAGTATCTATTCTAAATTTATTTCATTACCTTCCAGAGTCCACACTTTCTCCCTCTTTATTCTCAGTGGATAACTTTACCTCCTATTTCTCTAAAAAAACCCTATCCTATTTAACATGAATTTTCTCTGATTCCTTCCTTTCTGTTTTAATAATTTTTCAGTTTTACCAATTCCCTTCCTTTCTTGCTCTTTTCTTAAGGAAAGAATACTCCCTTTCTATTCCTAAGTTAACTCCACCACCTATTTATTTGGTTCCCTGTTCTCCATGGCCTGTCTTTAGAATTTGCATCCTTCCCTCTCTTGCTTTACCACTCACTTTTCATCAATGCCCTCTTCTTTTGGCTGAAAAATTGCTCATTTCTTCTTCCTTGAAACAAATCTTCTTCTAACTTTACTACTCCTTCAAACATGCATTTATCTTGCCTTCCCTTCACTGTCAAATTTATTAGAAACATCACTTGATCTTGTTGCCAGATTTGAGTTGCTCCAACTCTCAATTCCCTGAAATCAGTATTCTACCAGTTTGTGGAAATGTCTCTATAAAGGTCATATCAATTGCCTCTAAAATATCTTATTCAATAACTCCTCTACATTTCCTTATCTGTATCTCTGAGGCATTTGACACTATGGTACAACCCTGTATTTCTTGTCAAAAAGTCAAAGGTAGAATTTCCAGATAGACTTCTTCCTTCCTGTCTGCCTCTTCCTCATTCTGTCCTCGTTCACCCCTCTATCCTTCTTGTTCTATATTCTTTCTATGCAGATCTTATCCATAAAGTTTCAGGTTTCTTCTATACCAATGATTCAGATCTGCACATTTACCTGGAACCTCTCTCTGGAGCCCTGGCTTGCATTCCCAACTTCTTCCTAAGGGCAGCTCAAAATCAAATGGTCAAAACCAAAACCAACATTCTCTCCTTGAATCCTTCCTCTCATTTGTATCTATCATTCTTGGCAAAGGGCATCGCTGTTCTCCCCAATATCAGGACATAAAATTCAGTCTTCAAGTCTACCCTTTCCCCATAGTCAATTTGTCACTGAGCTCAGTGGCTTAGATAACGGCAGCACTGGAAAAAAAAATGTCAGGGATATCAGTGCTTCACTGTTTACCTGAGGAAAAGCTTCCCTTTGCACTTAAGGAAAATTAAGCTCAGAGAAGCAAAATGCCTAAATCACTCTGATCATTAGTTGTACGGCCTCTTTCTGCCACACCATAAAGAAAGGTTTGACAGTAGAGAATATTGTTCCAGAAGGCAGCTCAAGGCACAACACCACAGCAAGTCCATTGGTAATCTGGAGCTATGTGAGGACGCTGAATGGATGCTCTAGAAATGGAAATGATTTGATAGGGAAATAAGGGTGGGGCACTGCAAACAAACTTGGTCTAGATTAAGTGCTATGACAAATGAAACACTTCTAATAAATGGCTTCACACTCACCTGGTTTTCTGTTTAAGGCAGTTGGGGAAGAATTTGTGGTAAGTGATTGCAAGCAATTCTTTTGACAGCATTCACCACTGAAAATGGTGAAAATCACCTAGACGTGCAGGCATCTTATTTCCCCCAAACAGACTACCGGTATCTGTGGACAGGCACTGAAATCCTCCACCACCCTCATTCACCAGCACATGCATTCAGCAAATATTCCAGCACGTGTGTCGGCCATGTAGCATGTTAGGTGCTGAGCAAGGCAGCGAACACTCCAAAGTTCTGGCCTCAGGGGGCTTGAAATCCAGGGAGGCAGCACCAAGCAAGCACATCAGATATGCTGGTATATAAGAGCCTAAAAACAGGGAACATGAGGGACCATAGAAGAGGCATCTCACCCAGAAAGAGAGTGTCAGGGAAGACTTTCCCGAGGAATTGAAGGGCCACCACAATGAGGCCTCACAGAAAACTAGGAGTTAGCTGGTAACATGTAAAGAAGGGATTATCTTGCAGGCAAAGAGAGGTATGCCAAGTACCAAATTAAGGAAGCAAATAGCCTGCTTGGCACCTCTCAATAGACTAAAAATATCTATCGTACAGAATTACTCTCTAAAGCAGCAGCTTCCAAACATGTTCTAGGATGGCAAGAAAGGGCAATAGGAGAAACCAAGATGAACAAGGACTTAAGTTAATTACAGTGCAGAAAGATAAACAGTAAGCAAAGAACATCATCTTTAGCCTCTAAGCATGAGCTGCTTGTTAGTTTACAAAAAGAGCTCCATTATTTAAACCTTCATGTTCACATTTCTCATGGGAATTATTTGTGATGAAAATCTCTACTTTCTGAACAGCAATAATTCAGTACTTTTAGTTCCAGTGAAAATAAAAAAGAAGCGTACAGTAGGAATTACAAATATTATTTCCTACTGGCAAACAAATCTCTTAGCTATAGAATAATCATTTTCAAAGGTTTATGTGTCATAACATTGAAAATCTAAATTGACAACAGAAAATCTAAGTCAACAAAGAAAAAGCTTTTCTAGACAGCTTTGTTTTACCTTTAGTTTTGGAGAAAAGCTAAAGAAATAAACTCCCTCCCACCTTCCCACCCCTACACATACCACCACAACCAGCAATTTAAAACCCAAGTGAGACCCTGACTATACTGTGCATACTTAAGAATTTAGAAAGTAAGGCCATTAAGCGTTATTGTATGTGCCCCTTTTTTGGCCAAAAAGATATAGATCTAAAAATTCATGTTATTTGGTAGTATTTTATTTGCCAAAAGGGAATATTAGGACAGGCAATTCCAGCAATCAGAATTCACATTGAAAATGTAGTCAATCTACTTTTTCAAAATCTTAGGTCTCATTCCAAATTGCGACAGATTTAATAAATACATGATAATTTTCAACATCTTCACAACATATACATTTTAATTTCTTGAAATTCAATCCTTTGCATAGCTTCTGGATCACTGTAAACCTGTGAAGGCGGTATTGGGAATGAAATTCAGGCCCTCTACTTCTTTCAGAAAGAGCAGAAGGCATGGCAGGGAATACAACACGGGAAATGCTCAGGGTTTTGAATCGAGTAACATGGTTAATACTCGATCCACAAACATTTACTGAGCTCCAAACATAGGCAGGTGTAGCAAGAGGAATACTAGTTAGTGACAAGATGACTACCAGAAGCTGAGGTACAGCCAAACAAGGCAATGATGTGGATGGACAGCAACAAGACAAATCTGGAGACTAGTCTAGGAATCAAGTGGAAATCAATATGCATTTATTGAGACCTTAGTGAGTATGCAACTGCCCGCAGGAAGGTACCCACCCCGGGGCAAGCAAGAGTGGGCATTCCTGTGGTGTCCTGATTAGCCCTCTGGAATCATCTTTTGGATGTTTTAGTTGACCAGTTTACCTACAGGTAAGATGAGCATGTAGGGGTCCGTCTGCCAGCTCTAGTCAGCAACATTAATGTACTATCTACACGGCTATAGACATGAGCATCTGTGCAGTATGGGAATTACTCACACTGGAGATAAAAGCCAGCCCACTAGGAAGTACATCAATATCTTCAGAGCCATATCCTGCAAAAGAAGTGGAGGATAGGGAAGATGTATGTATGAAGACTTAAAAAGTAAATCTCACAGCCAAAACTTTGAACTTCTTTTGGAAACTACATTGACTTTTTCAACTATTTACTTGGGAAACTAAATTAATTTTCAGGAATCCCACAGGCATGCTACTCTGCAATAAAACCTGAGTCAGACTTCTTAAAGACTAAACTCTTTTTTTAGAATTTCATTTCAGGGAAAAAAGGCAAATATCTATAAAATAAATTCATATCCTAGATTTATTCTTTAAATAACAGCTTCCAGGGTCTGTCCTGAGAGATTCAGCTTTATTTCCTATACAAGACTAACCTACAGACCAGATGATAAAACTTGGAAAGTCATCATTGTAAAGGTCTCTCTTTTTTTTTTTTCCTTTTTCTCCCCAAAACCCCCCAGGACATAGTTGTATATTCTTCGTTGTGGGTCCTTCTAGTTGTGGCATGTGGGACGCTGCCTCAGCGTGGTTTGATGAGCAGTGCCATGTCCGCGCCCAGGATTCGAACCAACGAAACACTGGGCTGCCTGCAGTGGAGCGCGCGAACTTAACCACATGGCCACGGGGCCGGCCCCTGTAAAGGTCTCTTAAATGCCTCTCTGGCAACCATTTCCCTTCTTGCAACTTGTTGAGGCTTAAAAATCTATCATTATCCAGTCGTACTGGAAATTATTGAATAATTGTTCTCTGTTACAAAGCCCATCTTAGGATGGACTATTGAACATAAATGAATCTGAAAGAGTTTAGTCAGATCTTTTTCCATTGAGAGCTGGTCTTGAGAATTTTTCTATGGAAAGAGTACATAATAAGTAAGTTATGACTGAGAACAGGATGAAAAAGGAACTTGCATGACTCCTAGTAGAGAAATAGAGCCACATATGATGTCATCCCAAGCAGGCAGGACTGACGGTGAAGGCAATGGTTATCTAGTGTGACAAACTATATTTTATAAATATGGTAGAACCAATGTGTATCACAGCAGATGCTCTTCCTAAAATATGATGCTCATACTGTTCCATGAAGAGGTAAGGTCTACGTTCTCGCCCTTTGAACCTGGGTGGACCTTTGAAACTGCTCTGACAAATTGAATGAGGTGGAAGTGATGCCACGTGACATACAAAGTCAAGTCATGGTCATAGCTTCTGCTGGTGCTCTTTCTCTCTCTCTCTCTCTCAAGACATGCACCTTGGGAGGCATGAATCTAAATATAAGAAGTCTGGCTACTTTTTGAAGCTACAGTGGAGACACCATAAAGAGACCACTCAAGGTAGAGACAGGGACTCAGGAGGAGTCTCAGATGATTCAGTTCTCAGCCTTTGAGTCACTCTAGCTGATGCAAATGGAACAGAGATGAGCTGTCTCTAAGCCCTGCCCAAATTGCAGATTTATAAGCAAAATAATTGTTGTCATTTTAAATCACTAAGTTTTGGGGTGGTTTGTTATACAACTATAGTAATTGGAACACGTGAGAAAATGGTTATCTGGGGTAATGGGTTACTAGCGCATCAAAAGGCAACTGAGGGAGGATAGGCGAAATACATAAAAGTGAAACAAAACCAAAGGAAATGCAAATTTGAATCAATAGAATAATGAGCAACAGGCATTGAAAACTAGAGAACAGAGAAAGATCTTATTATATTCATTATACTAAAGGTTGAAACTAATCCCCAACTAGTAATCTGAAAATGAAATTAATCAGAACTTTCCATTTTCTAAGCATTCCAGTTAATCAAGATTTACCTATATATGGCATCTTGATGGCCTCAAAGATTTAGTGCTATTTCCCCATGGAGTAACATAGACATTAGGAGAACACAGTGAATTGAATAAAGCAATTTTAAAAATCACATTGATTCCTTAGTTCTTTTGTTTTTTAAAGATTTTATTTTTCCTTTTTCTTCCCAGAGCCCCCTGGTACATAGTTGTGGATTTTTTTTAGTTGTAGATCCTTCTACTTGTGGCATGTGGGATGCCGCCTCAACATGGCCTGATGAGCGGTGCCATGTCCACGCCCAGGATTTGAACTAGCGAAACCCTGGGCCACCGAAGCAGAGTGTGCAAACTTAACCACTTGGCCACAAGGCCGGCCCCTGATTGGTTAGGTTTTTGATGTTTCTCCTGCCTCTCTGAAACCTATTCTTGGGTTCCTCTTGCCATAATCTCCTTCCTACCTCTGTCGTGAATGTGAATATTCTTCAGGCTCTGTCTGCCCTTGGCTCTTTCTCGTGGCAGAGCATCCATTCTACCCATACAATCTACTCCAGTCCATGGCTTCAGCTTCCACACACGTGCTCTTGAATCTGCAATCCTTAAATCAAGTCCAAACATTTCTCCCAAGTTCCAGACCTCTATATTCACCTGTATGTTGGACATTTTTACCTGGCTTTTTTATTTCTCATATTTAACAGGTCCCACACTAATCTGGACATTTCTGCTTTGAATCTGCTTCACTTTCTATATTTCGATTTCGGTGGATGGCCTTGGAGTTATCTTTGGTGCCTTACTTTTCCTTACTCCTCAAAGGCAAGTGATCACCAGTCATTCAAGCTCTAGAGTTCCCTCCTGGATTTCTACAATAGCTTCCTAATAGGTCAGCTTTGCTCCCTACAACCATTCTCTGCACTGCTGACAGTCATCTTTTTTAAATTGCAAAGCTGACCTTGTCACTCCCCTGCTTAAAACCCTCCAGAGGTCCAAGAGGGCTGGCAATATAAATCCCAAGATCCTTGGCCTGGATCCCAAATCCTCCACATCTTGTCTCCAGTGTCAGTTCTTGTGGTTTCCACTCTCTGCTCTATATATTCCAGCTGTGCTGCAGTATTTCCGGTAGTAGTTACTGCAACGTGCCAGACTAGTCACCTGCATGCCTGAGCACATGCTGTTCCCGGCTTCTTGACAACTTACATCTTTCCTACACCACCTTTACCTCCACTTGGCTGAGTATCATGGACTCTTAGAGAAGAGCTCAGGGACCAACCCCTCAGCTTTTCCAACCTCTTTTGGTTCCAGGATTCATTTTACGTATTAATACGATCAGCTATGACTATCTCCACAGCGACATTTTTCACGCTGCGGCTGCAACCTTCTGTTCACTTGTTAATTTCCTACTAGACAGTAAGCTTCCTGGGAACAAGGACCAGGTTTTATTCATTACTGTATCCTTGTACCCAATATAATACCTGCCTTTTCACTGTAAAAGCTCCCAACAAAAGCTGGTTGGCTGACTAAATAAGATACCAGGAAACCATTTTAGTTTCGTGAACTTTGTCTTGTCTTGAGGTTAAACTATTGACTAGTGAGTGCCAATTTCTAAGTACAAGATAGCCTGTGTTTTGTGCTCTCTGCTTTGGTCCTGTCATCTTCCAAACACTAGTTCTTCTATCTCCTACATATGACAGCATTAACCTACCTCAGTAATTCACCTACAACAGGAGTGGGCATTTTCCAGAGGTGTTGTGATTGTCTTTCTTTACTTGTTCCATCTAGGGCAAAGGGAAGCTGGGGCTTTGCATTCATATGTGAAAAAGAATTACCAGCTGGTTGCACAGTATTCCGTCTCCTTACTCCCCATCCCCGCCACCTACACTGCACCTTCATGATGGCCCAGTGCATCCCAGCAACAGCAACACCTGTGGGAGTAAGAGCTCCCAGGACACCCTCCCCTGAGTCCTCCCCACATTCTCATTAGCCTTGCCCAACTATCATTACAACCCCACTGCTAGGTCTAAAATCAGTCCTATGAATAGATGTCTATTACTTTTTAACCTGTCAACCCTACACTTAGCATAACTTCGCTTCTTTGGCCTTTGATCATTCCCTACAGGCACCCTGAGAAAGGGTCACACCAAAATATTACTATCTATTAGTATGATCATCATGTCACATCTTGGAGAGAAGGTTCTGACAGCCAGCTAAGAAAACAAATGGAAGCTACTATGGGGTAGAAGCATATCTTGGAGACACGAGAAGCTGCAGGAGGGGCAGAGGGATGGAGGGGAAGATAGGAAGCCATCAAATACGGTGGCTGTATAATCCCACCAAGGGCAAGCCCTAATAAAGCTATCCATATTTCAAGTGCAACTTTGATAGAAGCCAAGGGCAGCCAAATAACTTCCTTGTTAAAACAACCCTTGACTCTCAAAGCCTTGGGAAAAAAAGTGAGCTTAATGCAGAAAGATCTATGAGAAATGATTTCTAGAGGTTAGAATTTTTTCACCTTTCAACCTTTCTTCTCAGAAGGAATACTAGGAAAGGAAAACAAAAAGAGGAAGAGCTCCTTCCACATAAAATTAACCACAAAAGTCTAGGTCTCGAAGAGAACACAGATCAGAATTTTTCCCTGGCTCTGTTACTGCCTACGGCACCCTGCCTAAAATCCATCAGTGGCTTCCATTGCTTCATAAAGCCTCCCCCTCACCAAACAGTTGAGTCTTGTGAATATTACCTCATTAGTGATCTGTACTTAAATATCCAGTCTGCCTTGTTTTGATCAGCCCTATTTATTAATATTTTACTTTCTGCATCTCAGATCTTCTGTTTTCTGCTGCTATCATACTTTCCTGAAGATTTCATAATAAAGATGTGTTGTCGGCAGATAAGAAAGACAGTGTTACACAACGGAGAGTACAAAGGTACAGAAGAGAACCACATTGGCTCACAATCTGAGCTGTCACCCTCCAGTTCTGGACCGCGAGGCAAGTAACTTCATTCTTCTGTGTGTCAGTTTCTTAGTCCGCAAGGACAGCTAGTAGCACCCACCTTACAGGTCAGCTGTGAGAGTGAGGTAGATGTTTGTAAAGCACCCAGCAGAACACTCGTAGATACCGGGACTTTGATAAGATAGTATTATTACTTTTAGATATATATCAATATTGTCTTGTTGACAAATGACCTTGACCATTCTAACTTGTTTAGTTCTCTAAATATAAAATGTAAATACACCAATAGCATGAAAAGTAACATGACATTTTTTTTCTTTTGCTCTCAGCCAGCTTCCAATCATGTAAGTCATTCTCTTCAAAATATTTGGAGAATCAGAATGTTGCTTATGTCTTACAATATTAGCTCTAGTTTTAGTTTCTCAAATGTATTTGAATTACATAATCTGAGAGTTGAGTTAGCTTTTGGCAATCATTTAGTCTAATTACTCCTCAGAAGTATTTGGCAGGCTCATATCTTTTGAGAGATATGTGCATAGTAAATATGAATATTACTGCACAAAACAGTAAACAAATGAGTGAACATTATATTTCTTTGTTTTTTAAATCAAATTAAGTTTGACCCTGACCCTACATTCTACTAAATTGGAGGGAAATTCAATCTGAGTCATTACTGGGTCTCTCTGCCAGGGTTGTGCAAAGATTGTAGGTGGAGGGTTTTAAAACTGAGCAGAATATCTGGGGAAGTCCATCTGGCCTTTATTCTACACTAGTCACCACTCAGTTACTCAATGCTGAACCCATGTGGTCCTTTTAATTTAGATAATTCTGCCACATCCAGGTCGCACTTGGGCACATGATGTTTGCTCAGGCTGGGACACACAGGACAAAGTATCCAGCCTCCCTAAAGACACCTAGTAGCCATTGCTTCTGAGGCCCTGCTCCTCCTCCTGAAAGCTGTCAGGGAGTAGAGCAAGGGTCCCTGTTAGTCAAAAAAATCCATATATTCTTATTCCTTCTCCATCAAAATCCCTTGAAGGAGCTCAGAGTTTGAAAACAAAAGTCAGGAAAAAGTTTGTCTTCAGCTCCTGCTTTCTAGCCAGCAGCACAAACCTCCTCTAAGACTAGGGAGCACAAGGGCCAGGCTAACTTTTTTAGAAATTGAGAGGAAAAAGGACAGAAAACCAAAATCAAAAATAAACTATGCTGTCATCCTGTCACCTACTAATAAGTAAGTCACAGTCCTTGACCTTAGGGAGTTTATAACCTGACAGTGAGAGAAAGAGAGAACACTGTTAGCTATAAAGGAAAGCATGGGAGAGGGGTCCTAAGTCGCTCAGAGTTTCAGAGTGCTGTGAGGGGTCAGAGGCAGGAGAGGAATTGGCAGCTGATTTCAGGAAGCAGAGATGAGGGGATCAGTGGAGGGAATTTCACGAGCAAAGGGGAGAAAGTGAAAGGACACATTCCCAGAACAGTGAACAGAATCTCGCTGGAACTTTTTTTCTGGTAGCAGCGTCAGGGAGTCTGGGAGGCTTGGAGCCTGACTAAGCAGCCGTGGCAGTAATGAGCAGGTGAGACCAGCCCTGGAGTGGGACACAGAGGAGGCTGAGGCCAACATGTCTCATGCAGAACAATGAGGGACAAGAGGGAAACAAATGGCTCCTGCATTTTGAACTGAGTCTCTTTGAGAACGGGGCTACCAAACATAGGAGAAGTCTAGAGAGAGAAGAGCTGGTTGGGGGTGGAGGGATGAGGGAGGAAACGACAGAAACATAAACTAGATTTCAGACTGGAAAAGAAGGCCTGCAGTTTGAGAGGTTAGGGATCTCGCTATGGATTTGTGATTAAATTTTTTAAAGGCATCTCAGTAGGGTGTGAAGTTCTTGAGGGTAAGGGTTAAGTCATATTCCTCTTGGGACTTTTAGATAAATTTTGAAGGAAGTAACACTGGAAGCCAAGAACGTCATCAAGGAAAGGGAAGAAGAAAGCAAAGAGGTAAAATAGGCGATAGAAGAAGCCGGGGTGGGAGGCGAATGAAACATCACAAAGGGATGGGAAGAGAGTTCAGTGAGCATCTGGCCAAGGAGCTGTCCACGACATGCTTCAAATGATGGAGACACATCAGTGAGGAAAAGGACTGAGAAAAAGCCAAAGACTTGACATTTAGGAGACCCCTTGGCGACCTGGGATGAGGTGGCTTGGGTAAAGTGGATGGGGCAGAAGCCCCCATAGGAGGGTTTAAGGAGTAGCAGGGAATTAAATCATTTGGCAGGCTCACTTAGGTGTAGGGTGACCAAGAAATTGTGCTGGCCTCTCTTGGTATAGCCACATACGTACCAAGTCCCTCAACAAGGTGGCAGTTCTGGGGTTCTACTGGCTCCACTTCTCGAGATGCATTAGTTCTTTGTCTGTAGAAGATAAAAACACTGGAGGTCAACGCACAACATGCAAAATCAATGTCTAAACATGGTCTTTATCACCTTCATATTCGTTAGCTCTCTTTCTCATCATTTATGAATGATATAACACGTAGGCATCTCCTTTTATTCACAGTTATTTGCATAACGTGAACATTATGTGGGCAATGTGCCTATAATAGCTAATCTCCCCCAGTTATTGTTGAAAGAGTAAAATGGGATTACACATGGATAACATTTTGCTGCCCAAATAAACGATACTACTTAATAATATGAGTAACTGGATAGTATTATTAATTTAAATGTACAGAATAGCATTACTTAATTTGCTAAAGTGTTGTCTATTGTACATCTGCACGGCGGCTCCCCTCAATCCCCTAGTCTTGTCTTTTAACTCCATCCCCTCCCCAAACTGCCTTCCCAAAATTCAACAGGGTCTCCTAACAGCTGAACCCTGTAGCTTTTGCTTTTTTCTAAATATGAGTGAAATATTCTTTTAAATAACTTTAAATTTTTACTAAATTGTATTCAGGAAAACTCTGCACTTAGACTTATCTTACTGCTCCTTAAAAAAAGAAACGTCTTAGATCTACTTTATAATTATTACTTTTTGTAATCCTCTCACTTGGGTGCCCGAGCAAATGTAACAATAAACACCCTGAAACTGAACTAGAAAGTATTACCAAAAGGCCTCAACCTCCTCAACAGGTGAGGACTTGAACCTCTGAGGAGACCAGCTACTGCTTAGAGAAATAAGTAAAAACAACCCAAAGACAACTGAAGGCAACTTTAGATCCACTCAGAAACCACCACCTAACATTTCTCTTTTCTAGCCCAGTATCGACTGTTGCTGAGATATTTCTGGAAAGGCTATCACCAGCAGATCCGCCACTTTGAAAAGTCGGATACCTACATAACTGCCAGTTCCCGCCTGCAGGGTTCAGTTAATTTCCCTGCTGTCCTGCTAGGCTAGCTCTTCCAGTCTCGATGAGTTTTGTAACCCAAAACTCCTCATTATTTAACCTGCCTTGGGTAACGTCTGAGCCAGCTATAGACTTCAGGCTGGCAGCCTGGACCCCCACTAGCCATGGTACTTCCAATAGAGTTAGTTTTTCAGGAGCAGAATGCTGAAGGCACCTGGAAAAGGCGGGGCATGACTTTCAGAAAGTAAATCAGGGCATTTCTACACTACCATTTTAGGAAAGGCAAGCAGTCAGCTCACTTTCCACATCAGTGCGTCTCAAGGGACAGATTGCCGGGTGGCATCGAGGAGTGAGGTTTCAAAGCTGCTCACTCCTGCCCGCCAGGAAAGCAGCCTGGGCAGTCCTTGAGGTAACTTGGAAGAGTAGACAAAGAGAGCCAGGGACGCCAAGCTCAGGGCAGCCCAGAGTTTCACGGGTTCTTATCCTGGGCGTGGACATAGTACCGCTCATCAAGCCATGCTAAAGCAGCGTCCCACATAGCACAGCTAGAAGGACCTGCAACTAGAATATACAACTATGTTGGGGCGGGGGTCGGGGGAGAAGAAAACAAAAAAAAAGAAGATTGGCCACAGATGTTAGCTGAGGGCCAATCTTTTTTAAAAAAGGTATTGTTTAAAGAAAGATGCCAGCTCACCTTATTGCCACTAATCTCTCCCCGATTAGGGCCAGGCCGGCCCCCAGCAGGGTCAGCAGCACCAGCTTCCCCATGGTCTCGAGTGCACTGCAGCGACGCAGGGCTCAGAGCACTTACCGAGGGCGCCAACGCAGGCTCCCGGCTCCGCCCCCTGGCACCAGCCCGCACCTCGGGGCGGTGGACGCTGGGTGCTGCCGGGCGCGGCGGCTGTGGTCAGCGTCTCCCGGCCCCGCCCCGGGTTCAAAGGCATCTTCGCGCTGGCGATTCAAGACCACCTTTACGTTCGAAGTTCAAGGAAACCTTTACCTGCGAGATTCCGTTTTTTCTTCAAGGCTCAACGTAAGGAGCCCGCAGCCGTGGGGTAAAGGTCTCGTGTTGTCTTGGCAGCTTTGGGAAGAGTACACGCGTTGGTGGGACGACAGAAGGAGTTTGCCTCTAAAACCTGAGGAATTCTACCTCAGCCCCTCAAATGGCCTGAAGGGGAAACTGAGGGGGCGAGGGAGCCCAGGGAGCCAGAGTTCAGAGCCCAAAACTTCGCGTTTCTGGAACGCAAGCCGGAAAATAAGACGGAGAATTGATCCCGGGACGCTGGGAGCAGTGATAAACGAAGATAACGGAAGCGAAGAGTTTAACTCACCCTTCTCCAAGATTTGGGGCACAGGACCTTATCTCCCTGCCTTCATGCCCTGCCTCAGAATGCTGAATATGGTGGGTGCCCAGTTCAATTTGTTGACTGGGTGGATTTGTAAATATCAGTATTTGCCCCGTCATTGATGGGATAAAGAGAAATCGAGACAAGTGAAGGAAAAGAAAGAACTAGAATGGGAGACAGGAAGAGGAGCAGAGTAGGGGGAAGGGAGAATAGTTTCTTTGGGAGATTAGACGTTCAAAATCCTCCTTGATCTTTCTTTCTTCTGAGTCTTCAGTTCCTGCCAGGCAAGAACGCTCTTTCCCCTCTAGTGAGGACCTGGTTGGAGGGAAAGGGGCTGAAAATGGGGAAGACTTGTGGAATTTGGGCAAAGCCAAGTAGCATCTTCAAGCATGATCTGTTTTTATTTACCAACAGAAGGGAACAGTAAGTCTACTGAGTTGAACTGAGTAAAAAAATGTTGACAGAACAAAACTTACCAAACCTAGAGATACTAAGAAAAGAGAAGATGCTGCTTGATCTATGGGATACATAATTATAGTATGAATACATAATTATGGTATGACAAAGCTTATCAGTTATGCAACACCTGCTGTGTACTTTGCATTGTGCTTAGAACTTTGCCCACATTAACTCTTAATTCTCAGAACAACCTCCGAGGTAGGTAGTAACATTATCCCAATTTTATAGGTAAGAAAATTGAAGCAAAGAGTGACTGTGTAACTTGCCCTGGGTCACACAGCTGGGGAGCTGCAGAGTCTGGCTCCAGAATCTGTGCTGCCTCCATTAAAGCTGTGGGAGAAGGGCTGCGCTGAAGGAACCCTGTAACGTCTAGAGGAGTATCGATAAGATAATGATTTCTAAGATGATTAACTTTAAAAGAGCTCAAGCAGAGGAGGAGTTTAATGGTGTTTTCATGAAGACTTAGAAAGAGAGATATGAGGAGGAGAAGAGTGCTCCCAAAGCTGAGGGGCTGGAGGTGTGGTGCAGTGTGCATGCAGGATTTGGGGCCCAAGCTGCCACCCTGTGGCGGACGTCCCACATATAAAGTAGAAGAAGATGGTTTGGGATCTGGTTTGGATAAGGTGCCCAGCTTTCTTAGGCTGCAGATTCCTCTTCTGTAAAAGAACATCCACCTTATAGGTGGTTTAAAATCGAATGTTATGATCAGTGCAAAGTACTCAGCACTGTGGTTGGCACATTGTTAGAAGTCAATAACATGAATCATAAATTAGATCTGAACCTCCATGTGAGAGTGTAGGCTTTATCACATTACTTCTTATTATCCTATCTTTACAAATATGCAAAGTATGGCTTAGAGAGGTTATGTAATACATAAGGTTAAGGTTATATAACTATGAAGTGTCAGACTCCATTTGGATTCGGATCAACTGACTAAAAGTACACGTCCCTTCTCACTGTGCTTGCTGCCTCCCAGTGTAGCATGAAGAAGGGGATAAGGAAAGAGGCACGTTCTTGGGCAGTTGATTACAGGTGCTGTGTCATCTATAATTTGTTTAGAAATTCTTTACTTTAGGCAGAGGGGTGTGTGTGTGTGTGTGTACACATTAACTTTAAACTTTATCATTTGAATACCATAATCAGTAAATCAAATTCCTAACTTGATTAGTTAGCATTAAAGAATTCCAAACTTTGGAGACCACCATATCAAGTGCCACCATTTAAATCTGTACCTGGAGCGTACATTTGTTAGCTCAAGAGATATTAGAGATAATTATTCAGAGTGAAGCCAGTTTTGCCCAGACATTTTGTATAAGCGGCTCCAGTTCTGCCTAGAGTAAGGATGAGAACAAGGACGCCAGCATTCTCACACAAATGGAGTGAGTTCTTGGCTGTCTTCGCCCATTTGGGCTGCTATTGCAAAAGCCTGCAAACTGAGTGACTTATCAACACCAAACACTTGTTTCTCACAGTTCCAGAGACTGCAAAGTCCCAGATCAAGGCACTGGCACAATCAGTGTCAGGTGAGAGCCTGCTTCTTAGACTGTTATCTTTTTCTGTGGCCAAACAAGGAGGAAGGGGCAAGGGAGCTCTGTAGGGTCTTCTTTATAAGGGCACTAGTCCCATTCAGGAGGAGTGCAGCCTTATAACCTAATCACCACGCAAAGGCCCCACCTCCTAACACCATCTTGTTTGGGATTCAGATTTCAACATATGAATTTTAGGGGGACACAAACCTTCAGACCATGGCACTGGCTCTAGAATGCTGCTGTGTGCTGTGTCCACACTGTTGACCAAGGAAGATTCTGCTTTCTGATCTAAGGTGAACTGATTCTTTCCTTCAGAACTTTGTCTCAGACTGAATCTTTTTGTCATGTGCTTGTTCAAATACAGAGATGGTTGTAATATGGAGTATAGAGCTGGGACTTCACTGAGTTTATAGAACAATAGATCATAGGACGATTTTCATGTCTCCTTGATAAAAAACATTTGCATGTGACGGATTTGGGTTTGAGCCTTGTGTGTATTGAATCATACCACCCAGCAGTGAGATTGTGGAGAAAGGGACCCATAGCCCTCATCCACATCTAATCTTTGAAGGCTAATGGTCACTCAGCAACAACACCCTGTCAAGAGGCCAAATTGGCTTTGTCCAGAGGCCATTTTCTTACATGGACAGTAGGGCTTTTAAAAAAGCTTATATGGACCAAATGAAATAGTATATGTTTAAATAACAAATAGCACAACATATGGATCTTGTTAATCTAACACCATTGATAATCAAAATGCCACTCATGGGTATGCAGAATGTACATATGTTATAATCTTATTGTATAAAAAGTAGGGAACTTATTATGCATAAAAACAACCTAGACACAAACTGAAGAGTAGTTAATGAGTGAGAGATTAGGGTCCTGGAGATTGGGGAGTCAGTGACTCTGGAAGGAGCCTTTGCTTTTATTGTATGACCTTCTATGATGCCTGAAAACTTTAAACCATTTATCTTTATCATGTTTGTAATCATACAATTTTTAGATTAAAAAGATCATTTTTATCCATGAATGTTGCCCAGGAAATGAAGTGGTGTTAGGAGGAGAGAAAAGCAAATCAAAAGAAGATGTGATTATATGTCAATAAAGCTGTTTAGGGGCCGGCCTGGTGGCACAGCGGCTAAGTGCACATGTTCTGCTTCGGCGGCCCGGGGTTCGCCGGTTAGGATCCTGGGTGCGGACATGGCATCGCTTGGCAGGTGACCCTGTGGCAGGCGTCCCACATAGAAAGTAGAGGAAGATGGGCACAATGTTAGTTCAGGGCCAGTCTTCCTCAGCAAAAAGAGAAGGATTGGCAGCAGTAAGCTCAGGGCTATTCTTCTTCAGAAAAATAAAATAAAATAAAAGAAAGCTGTTTAAAAAAAGAGAGAGGATATGGATTTTAAAACATTGGGAAACGTTATCCTGAGCCATAGTGACCAACGTTTGAAACCTGGGTATGGATTACTATGTATCGTTGGTATGTGTCTTGTGCTGCTTGGGAGAGACAAAAGCTAGAGGACCACTGATCTATATTGCTTTGGGAATATGATTTACTTAAGTAAAATTCTCAATTTCACTTTGAGCATGCAGCCAATAACGAAGCCACATGATGAGTCTCTGATACTTTGTTTAGTCATTTCCTGAGCCCACCGTGGGGAAGTTCTGCCCCGACTCGGGACTGCAGGGGCAGCCTGTGTGTGCTAGGAGTCAACTGTGCTGTTTAGCAGTGGGGATCACGAGGGCCCAGTAAGTCTGATGTTTCACTGTGTAAGAACCAAATGAATGTGAGGAGTGTCAGGGGGTCACACTTTGCCAGGAAGAGCCTTACCAGATTAATCTTCCACTTTAACTCTCTTAGAGGATCTCTCATCAATTTTCTATAGACCCTCAGTGACTCTAGTTTGGATTACACCTCAAGCTGGATCCATCATAGAACGTCATTTGATTCAACAAAGACTTATCAGACTGTATAACCAAGAGATGTAAGAGTTAGTCAGGCAGAAGAAGGGGTGGTGAAACCCATAGAAATATAGCATGGCATCTGCAAAGTACTGGGGAATTGGAACCAAAGAGGTAAATCCAGTGTGGATAGAGCAGTGGTTCTCAAACCAGATGAGAAGAATCACCTGGAGGGCTTTTTAAAACACAGCTTGCTGAGCCCCATCCCCGGAGTTTCTGATTTGTTAGACTTGGGGTAGGGCCTGAGAATTTGCACCTCTAATAAGTTCACATGTGATGCTGATGCTACTGGTCCAGGGACCACACTTTGAGAACCGCCGAGCTAGAGCATCTACAGCACCACTGAATCTCGAGAGGAAGGCAGGGCCTTATAGGCCAAGTTAAGAAATGTAAATTCTATCCTGGGGGGCATTGGGAAACCACTGGAGTGACATGACTCAGTGGATGTTTTAGAAACCTCACTCTGCGATGATGAGAATGCATTAAGGAGGGGTAGGGGGCCAGTGTCTCCCGGAGGCAGGGAGAACAGA